TCCAATCAAACTCACTACCAGCAAAACATGTAATTAAACATTGATCCATTAACAAGTAATTCTTACAGGTGGATCAACTTTTCCAGCGTTCCAATGTAGGAAGGAATCGAATCTGATATATTATTGTTTCTCAAAACTCTGTCAGAAATTGAACATTATATGGTCACAGAAGTGCAAAGAATATTTAACATAAAGAAACCAAGAAAAATCAAACAAAGATTGGTGTTAACTTACAATGTTGTTAGAGACTTCATATTCTTGATGAATGCTAGTGAAGAGCTCCCATTTGATAAATCACCTATTCTCCATTAATTTTATCCATGACATAATTACCAATACGAGTGGCCTTTTTTGTGGGTCAATTTGTATTCTTTCATTCATCTTAGTGAAATTTAGCTTCTTATAAGAAAAAAATACTTAGCTACAGATAAAGCAAAAAAGAGTCCAACATTTCGAAATGGTTAAAGTTGATTTAGGTGGAATAAATATAATTGTATTCCCATAATATGATTGAGTAAGAAATACATAGCCTTCTTATATAGAAGAGGGGCTCGAAACCATAAAAAAAAAAATAAAGATAAATAACAATTAATATTTACAACTAATTTACAGCAAATATTCACAAATATTAAACCAACGCTCCCTCTCAAGCTGGTTTACAGATATCTTCCATTGCCAGCTTGTCAATCATTCTGTCAAATTGCACTTTTGGTAGTCCCTTTGTCAACACATCAACAATCATTCTGTCAAATTGCACTTTTGGTAGTCCCTTTGTCAACACATTGTCGGGAGATAAAGGATACATATCACACCAGTGTCAACTTTTTCCTTTATGAAATATTTGTCAATTTCAATATGCTTAGTCCTATCATGTTGAACTGGATTGTGGGCTATAGAGATGACAGTCTTGTTATCACAATAAACTTGTATGGGTGTCCTCTGAAAGACTCTCAATTCTTCAAGTAACCTTTTTATCCATATTCCTTCACAAATACCATGGACCAAAGCTCTAAATTCTGTTTCAGCACTGCTTCTGACAACTAAATTTTGTTTTTTACTTCGCCAAGTAACTAAGTTACCTCCAACAAATGAACAATAACTAGAAGTAGATCTTCTATCTATCGTACTTCCTGCCCAATCAGCATCAGTATAAACTTCAACCTGTAAATGGTTGTGTTTTTTGAACAATATACATTTTCCTGGAGTTCCTTTCAGATATCTCAAGATTCTATAGGCAGCTTCAAAGTGAGTTGTTCCTGGTGAGTGCATAAATTGACTTACCATGCTCAGTGCAAAAGTAATATCTAGACGTGTGTGAGACAAGTAGATGAGTCTTCCCACAAGGCTTTGATATCGTTCCTTATTCTTTACTTCTCCTTCTTTTGCAGCTTCCAATTTCAAATTAGGTTCAATAGGAGTCTCAGCTACCTTGCATCCAAACAAACCTATTTCTCCAAGTAAATCAAGAATATATTTTCTTTGATTAACAAAGATACCTTACTTAGATCTCGCAAACTCCATACCTAGGAAGTACTCTAACGTTCCTAGGTCCTTAAATTGAAATTCACTTGCAAGACTTTTCTTTAAAGTGGCCAATTCTGCTTCATCATCACCTGTAGGCACAATGTCATCTACATAGACAATCAAAATTGCAGTTTTATTGTTTTCAGAACATTTATAAAAGATGGTATGATCGACTCTGAAGAAACTCATAGCTCATGACTACTTTATCAAGTCGTTCAAACCATACCCTTGGAGATTATTCGAGTCCATATAGAGATTTCTTTAATCGGCATACTTTGTCTTTTCCAAGATTAGCTTCAAAACCTGGTGGTAAACTCATAAGTACTTCTTCTTCGAGATCTCCATTAAGAAAGGCATTCTTTTACATCGAGTTGGTGAAGTGACCAATCTAAATTTGCAGCTAGGGATAAAAGTATTCTAACGGAGTTGATTTTAGCTACAGGAGTAAAACTTTCCTGATAATCAATACCATAGGTTTGAATAAATCCCTTTGCAACTAGTCTAGCTTTGTACCTTTCAACACTACCATCAGCATTACATTTGATTGTAAAAACTCATTTGCACCCCACAGTTTTCTTATCTCTTGGCAAATCTACTATCTCTTATGTACAATTATGTTTTAGAGTATTCATCTCCTCCATAACAGCTAGTTTCCAATTTGGATCATTTAAGGCTTCTTGTATGTTCCTTGGAATAAACAAGTTAGTTATCCTAGACGTAAAAGTTTTATGACTACTTGAAAGTTTTTCGTAAGAGATATAGTTTGCAAGAGGATATTTGGTGCAAGTTCGAGTTCCTTTTGTTAAGGCTATAGGAACATCAAGATCAGAAACAACAGATGAGACATTTTCAATATTTGCAGTGACAGGTATGGAAGATTGATTACCTGGAGTTTCAGATTTGGTCTGTGATGAGTCAGTTATAAGGTCCTCATTCGTTTGATTGAGCCTTCTTCTAGTATAAAACTTAAACTCAGGATTTAGACCCATTTGATCATTTCGTAGTAATTCTCCCCCTGAATGAGAATTTTCTACACTTGATATTGAAGGACTAGTAACGTCAGAACTAGGAGCAGTAAAGTTGGGACTTATAAAATTGGGCAGAGGGACAGGTATATCCCAAAAATTATCATCCTTGAAGATAACTTTGGGTAAAAACAGGTTGATTTTCCAGAAAAGATACATCCATACTCACATGTAGCTTTTTTTGATTGAGGATCAAAACATTTATACCCTTTTTTTCTAAAATCATAGCCCAAGAAAATGCATTTAATAGCCCTATGATCTAATTTTGACCGAAAAGGACTAGGAATATGCACATAAGTGGTATATCCAAAAACTTTGAGAGGTAAATCAGAGTTCAAACGAGTTGTTGGAAAATTTTCTTTCAAAATATCAAGAGGAGTTTTAAACTTCAAAACTTTAGTAGGCATCCGATTTATTAGGTACACAGTCGTAAGGACTGCTTCCCCACATAAGTACTTAGGGACATTCATAGAAAACATTACCACCCGTAAGGACTCCAATAAATGCTTATTTTTTCGTTCAACAATACCATTTTGTTGAGGAGTATCTCTACAAGTGGAGTGATGAACAATGCCTTTATTTTTCAAAAACTCACCCAAATGTTCATTAAAATATTCAGTTCCATTGTCATAATGCAAGATACTAATTTTAGTTTGAAATTGGGTTTCAATCATGCCGTAAAAACATTTGAAAATATCCTTTACATCAGATTTGTTTGTCAATAAATAAACCCAAGACAAGCGAGAGTATGATCATCAATAAAAGTTACAAACCACCGTCTAGCACTATGAGTTAAAACTTTAGAAGGACCTCAAACATCACTAAGAATTAAATAGAATGGTTTGGAGGACTTGTAAGGTTTTGGCAAGTATGTGGATCGATTATGTTTTGCAAAGATGCAATTTTCACAATGAAATTGAGAATAATCAAATCCTTTAAACAAATTTGGAAATATGTATTTGAGATAGAAGAAACTAGGATGTCCTAGCCTAAAATGCCAAAGCATAATTTGTTCTTTAACAGAGAGAGAACTGTTACTACTAAAGCACTGAGTTATTTTATTACTACCAGGCTCATCAAAGTGGTAGAGGTCATCCAGCATCTTAGCACATCCAAACGTCTTCCTTGAGGACTGGTCCTGAAAAACACAGTGAGATGCATAAAAAGTAACAAGACAGTTAGAATCTTTAGAGAGTTTACTAACTGATAAAGATTGCAGGTTAATTTAGGAACATGAAGACCCAATTGAAGAGTAATATTTTTTGTTAATTTAACGGTTCCCTTTCCTACAATAGAAGAGAAACTACCATCGGCAGTCTTAATTTTTTCATTGCAATATGTAGGAGAGTATGATTCAAAAATTTTAGAAGAACTAGTCATGTGGTCAAAAGCTTCGGAATCAATGATCCATGGAGATGAGCCAAAGCAAGAAACTGCTATAGGGTAGTTACCTGTTTGCACCAAGGAAAAACAAAGATTACCAAATGATGAATTGGCCTCTAGTCGTTGTGATAGATGCTTTCTACTAAATGTTCTTGAGTCAACAATATCAATGCGAACTTGCTCCCGATCAATTTCAATTTCTTCAACCATGATGGGAAAAACTAGAGTTAATTAAACAGATCAGACCACAAATTGAGATATTAGGGTGGAAATAATCATATAACCAACTACCAAGATTTGAACCAAACCAAACCAAGCTACTATCTCCCAAACTGAACTGAATGGACCGTACCAAACTGAACCAAGCTGAATTGAATGGAACGAACCAAACTTGGCGAACCAACCCGAACCGAACCAAGTGCAAACCAACCCGAACCGAACAACAACAGAACACAACAGAAGCGAATATCTGTTGATCGCCGACGTCCCTCCGACGACTGAAGCAACATCGAAAACCGGTAGTAACGTATGTAGACGATGCGACGGCGTCCGATGAAGTGGAGTGGCAGCAATTGAATCTTAAACGGCGTCGGATGTAGAAGAGGCAGCAGCATCTGTCGAAGCGAAGTGGCAGCGACGGGAACTAAACGTGCTACAACCTCCGCACCTGAACAGTGGCGGATCTGAGCGTCGACAGCAAACGAACGGTCGGCGACTCAGATCTAGTGGAATAGGTCCGATTTGAACAGCATACGCACAAAGGGACCATCCAGAACTAGGGTGCGCCCTTTCAAGGCGACGACTACGGTTCCGGTGGTGAGAGTGGCGACGGCTGCTCAGCTCGTAGTGGCTAGGGTTTTTTAAACCTAGCTTTGATACCAACTTGATTTAGGTGGAATAAAAATAATTGTATTCCAATAATATGATTGAGTAAGAAATACATAGCCTTCTTATATAGAAGAGAGGCTCAAAACCATAAAAGGAAATAAAGATAAATAACAATTAATATTTACAACTAATTTACAGCAAATATTCACAAATATTAAACCAACAGTTAAACATACTCACAAGTCATTCATAGCTGTCAAGTTTGAAAATGTCAACGGTATGGGACCAATGAAAGAGTTTCCTTGAAACCTCCTACAAAAGCAAGTTGATCATATAGATAGATAAATGATGAGCTTAATTTTTATTTTTTTTAAACAAGAAACAAACTTTCCATTGACAATATGAAAAGGAAAACTTTCAATTTTTTTGCTCACAAAGGAAGCGAAAAAATGGAAGAAAAGTAACCAAACAAAGGAACCAAAATACAAGGAAATAGACGAGATCTGAAGCCCAAGAAATATAAAAAAGATGCTGAAAAAACTTTCAACAACAAAGCTTGCCAATCCAAAATGACTGTCTACTGAGGAGGAAACCAAAACAACCGCTGAACCCAAATTGATCGCCCGAATTTGATAAATGACGACCTTAATATAAAGAAAGAGATTTTATAAAATATTATTTATCAACAGGTTACTTGGGAAAGAGAAAGGGTTTTGAAGAACTATTATGCTCAACTATTCTATAAGCAGTCATGTATAAATATGACATGTTCAAGACCTAACACGAATGTCTCGTCATAGTGGCTTATGTATGACCTGTGGCCCATGATGATAGGACTCTATTCAATAAGTGGAATGTATAAGGTGTTCTCTCTTGGTTGGGCAACCCAAAAATTTAACAATGCAAGTGCTTTGAGACCCGATTGCATTTTAACAATCCAAGGTTGGTAATTTTCATCACTAAAATGTGAACGAGAGGTAAGACCAAAATTAGAAGACATAATTAAAATATTGAAAGATCTCTTTCACAAATAAAATCACAGCCCTTAAAATCTAAAGCTCTAGTGCCCTTGTTGAGAAAATGAAAGTAATAAAGAAAATGATGTGGAAGTGAAATTTTCTTAAACAGTTAGTCTCTTCGTCAGTTTTAAGTAAGTTGGCTTTTCTGTTTTAAAGTTTGTTGGTTTATTTGTGAATACTAATTGTAATTAGGTGTAAATATTAATTATTATTATATCCTTATTTACATTCCTTTCATGTATTGAGCCTTTCTCCTATATAAGAAGGCTATGTATTTCTTACTTTTTGAAATATTGGAATACAAATAATTTTATTCCATCAAAACTAAGTTGGTATCAGAGCCAAAATAAACCCTAATATCTTTAGAAACCCTAGTCACCATCCCTACCTTTAAACCCTAGCCGTCGTCATTGTCGTTGCC